CAGCCTTAAAACTAAAAGCGTATTGAATAAGAAATAAAAGATGAAATAAAGCACAGTAAAGAGCGGTGCATTTTTCATTATTACAACTCAATTTGCAGAGAACGACCGTGATGTAAAATTACTTCCATATGCCTCCGCTGCGGGGCGCCACAGAGTCTGTCATCATTCTTCTTCTATTGATGGGGATTCGAGCCCTGTGATTGGTTAGGGTGGGTGACTCCAAAAAAAAAAAAGAGCAGTGGACCAATGAAAGGGCAGGATTTGAATTCTTTTGTTTGATTGGCTACAAGGAGGTGTCAATCAAGCGCGGACGGGGTCTGGAGGCTGAGAGCGGCCAGTCTGTTGTTTTGTTCTCCAGAGGACGGAGCTCCTGCACACACACAAACACACACACACACACAAACACACACACACACACACACACACACACGCACACACTCTCTTACTATTACTTAAATCAAGTTCAATATTTTATATAAATAGTAAAGGTTGTGATAGCCTATACACATTAAATTGTGTAATAAATCTATAGCCTATAAAATAAATGGACTATATTTCAGGGTATATGTAATTGTGGTACAGCGAAACCTTTAGTATGTTGTAACTTCTATTCATCAGAAGCCTAATTACTGTGTAGGTATTAAATACAAACTTCTGTGTATTTTTTCGTCTATTTCAAATAGTACTACGACTACTACTACTACTACTACAGCTAATAATAATACTAATAATGATAATAACAATAATATAGGTATATAGATATAACATTTGAGTCATTACTAAAATTATTGGAGTATGAATTTTATATTTTCCATTAATATAATGTATCATAATGATGGCATTTTTATTTGCATTTTACGTTAATTAAGGGAAGAAATGTGAATTCTAAAAAAAATATTAAAACTCAATTCATTCTAACTATTGACACATTATTGGATAGATATGTTGTATTGATAAATAATTCAGAATAAGCTTATTCCCAAATATTCTATTATTATTGAAAAATAGTGGCAATTACTATAAATGTTTGAAATAATTTCTAAAATAAAATACCTACAGAATCAGAGATAAAATGCATCTTCGTGGCTCATTCAAAAGTAACACAAGCTTTTTTGATGCAACCAGTATTTTCTACCACTGGAAGTATTTTATTAGGTAACATAATTAGGTCAGTGATCAAATATAATATTTTCCATCCGATTTCTTTTAAGAGTTAAAGTAACGTCTGCCTCAAATAATTAAAAAAGTAGTAAAATAAGAATAGATAACAAATATATAATATAATGATCAAATAAACTGAGAGTCAGTTTTTAATTTGCTTTCTCTCATCAAAGCCTCAGTTTTTATCCGGTGTATGAAACTGGCTTCTAACGTGAATTTAAAAGTTTCATTCCTTCAGTAAAAAGACAGAAAACAACAACAAAATAGTCCCGTGAAGAGCCCGAGCGCCCTGAAGTTTCCCATGAGTCTTTGCGCGGACCTCCGTTTTTTGGCGCAGGCGCACTGAGCCTCCTGCGCATGTCTCACTATCCCAACCAATCAGCTCGTTGCTCGGAGGAGCGCGTGGGGCTGATTTAAGAGCTCCCCCCCCCCAATAAATCTGTCACAACTTCACAAAGTTGATTTAAACGTGTTTCACATCGTTATGAAAATACTTGTGGATTAATCAAGTGACTGCGCGCTGGCGTCACGTCAATCGGAGCAGATTAGTCGGCACAGCTTCGTTAAAGCGACGCCATTTGTTCTTTTTCCTTCGGGGCCACCAAGTGGACCCTGGACGAGGCGGATTCTTGACGTGATTGTCAGTGGGGCTGACTTTTTTTTTGTGTGATATACGTGTAATCCGTGTGCACAGGAGCGCAGCAGGTGTTGCAGCAGGAGTAGAAGTAGCGGTGTGGACACTGTGTGCATGTGACACTGGTGCAGTTGTCGTGTGTCTGTGTTGCAGCTGCTGTGTGAAGTGTGCTGCCTGCAGCCGGTTGTCAGCTCTGCAGCGGTGTCACTCCTGCAGGAGCTGCACTGTCTCACCAGCAGCTCACAGACAGGCGAGCTGACTGAGACCATGTGAGTTGAACTTGTTGTTTTGCTCCAGACTTATAATGGACAGTCATCAGCTTTGTTTCTGTAATTTAACACGAGGTTACTGTCTACTCTGTGCTACGATGGCTCATTTAAGGCTGCGAGGATGCTTTTATAAAGGTTTGACTCTGGAGTTTGATCGCTCAGAAGTACACAGTAAATATGGCAGTGACCGAGAGGACCTGCTTCCACTTCAACAGCTGCTCTCACTTGTTTGTTTTGCATTTGTCTTCATATATTTCTTTTATACAACTGGTATGTATAATTTGTTGTTTTATTAATGTCACTTCAACTAAAGAAATACAAAAACAATATTACCTGAGTGTT